ACAGTGTTTGTACCAAATGAGACAGCTTGTGATGAAAGCGATCTAACGGTCACCGAATCATGGGATAAGTGTGAAACGTCTTCTACTTCTACTGTTATTGATGGAAAGACCACTACTACAGTGTTTGTACCAAATGAGACAGCTTGTGATGAAAGCGATCTAACGGTCACCGAATCATGGGATAAGTGTGAAACGTCTTCTACTTCTACTGTTATTGATGGAAAGACCACTACTACAGTGTTTGTACCAAATGAGACAGCTTGTGATGGTGTTGATCTTACAACAACAGAAACATGGGATAAGTGTGAAGTTTCTTCAACCGTTGGTATCACCGGCGGTAAGCAAACGACTACAATCTATGTTCCTAATGACACAGTTTGTGAGACTATTAATGATACAGTTGAAATTCCATGGAACAGATGTGAAAAGTCTACTACTTCTACTGTTATTGATGGAAAGACCACTACTACAGTGTTTGTACCAAATGAGACAGCTTGTGATGAAAGCGATCTAACGGTCACCGAATCATGGGATAAGTGTGAAACGTCTTCTACTTCTACTGTTATTGATGGAAAGACCACTACTACAGTGTTTGTACCAAATGAGACAGCTTGTGATAAAAAATTTTTACTTTTCTTTATTGATGGAAAGACACTACTACAGTGTTTGACCAAATGAGCAGCTTGTGATGAAAGCGATCTAACGGTCACCGAATCATGGGATAAGTGTGAAACGTCTTCTACTTCTACTGTTATTGATGGAAAGACCACTACTACAGTGTTTGTACCAAATGAGACAGCTTGTGAAAAATTTAAGTTCACAAAAAAAGGGAAAAGGGGGAAACGTCTTCTACTTCTACTGTTATTGATGGAAAGACCACTACTACAGTGTTTGTACCAAATGAGCAGCTTGTGATGAAAGCGATCTAACGGTCACCGAATCATGGGATAAGTGTGAAACGTCTTCTACTTCTACTGTTATTGATGGAAAGACCACTACTACAGTGTTTGTACCAAATGAGACAGCTTGTGATGGTGTTGATCTTACAACAACAGAAACATGGGATAAGTGTGAAGTTTCTTCAACCGTTGGTATCACCGGCGGTAAGCAAACGACTACAATCTATGTTCCTAATGACACAGTTTGTGAGACTATTAATGATACAGTTGAAATTCCATGGAACAGATGTGAAAAGTCTACTACTTCTACTGTTATTGATGGAAGCCACACTACAGTGTTTGTACCAAATGAGACAGCTTGTGATGAAAGCGATCTAACGGTCACCGAATCATGAAAGTGTGAAACGTCTTCTACTTCTACTGTTATTGATGGAAAGACCACTACTACAGTGTTTGTACCAAATGAGACAGCTTGTGATGAAAGCGATCTAACGGTCACCGAATCATGGGATAAGTGTGAAACGTCTTCTACTTCTACTGTTATTGATGGAAAGACCACTACTACAGTGTTTGTACCAAATGAGACAGCTTGTGATGAAAGCGATCTAACGGTCACCGAATCATGGGATAAGTGTGAAACGTCTTCTACTTCTACTGTTATTGATGGAAAGACCACTACTACAGTGTTTGTACCAAATGAGACAGCTTGTGATGGTGTTGATCTTACAACAACAGAAACATGGGATAAGTGTGAAGTTTCTTCAACCGTTGGTATCACCGGCGGTAAGCAAACGACTACAATCTATGTTCCTAATGACACAGTTTGTGAGACTATTAATGATACAGTTGAAATTCCATGGAACAGATGTGAAAAGTCTACTACTTCTACTGTTATTGATGGAAAGACCACTACTACAGTGTTTGTACCAAATGAGACAGCTTGTGATGAAAGCGATCTAACGGTCACCGAATCATGGGATAAGTGTGAAACGTCTTCTACTTCTACTGTTATTGATGGAAAGACCACTACTACAGTGTTTGTACCAAATGAGACAGCTTGTGATGAAAGCGATCTAACGGTCACCGAATCATGGGATAAGTGTGAAACGTCTTCTACTTCTACTGTTATTGATGGAAAGACCACTACTACAGTGTTTGTACCAAATGAGACAGCTTGTGATGAAAGCGATCTAACGGTCACCGAATCATGGGATAAGTGTGAAACGTCTTCTACTTCTACTGTTATTGATGGAAAGACCACTACTACAGTGTTTGTACCAAATGAGACAGCTTGTGATGGTGTTGATCTTACAACAACAGAAACATGGGATAAGTGTGAAGTTTCTTCAACCGTTGGTATCACCGGCGGTAAGCAAACGACTACAATCTATGTTCCTAATGACACAGTTTGTGAGACTATTAATGATACAGTTGAAATTCCATGGAACAGATGTGAAAAGTCTTCTACTTCTACTGTTATTGATGGAAAGACCACTACTACAGTGTTTGTACCAAATGAGACAGCTTGTGATGAAAGCGATCTAACGGTCACCGAATCATGGGATAAGTGTGAAACGTCTTCTACTTCTACTGTTATTGATGGAAAGACCACTACTACAGTGTTTGTACCAAATGAGACAGCTTGTGATGGTGTTGATCTTACAACAACAGAAACATGGGATAAGTGTGAAGTTTCTTCAACCGTTGGTATCACCGGCGGTAAGCAAACGACTACAATCTATGTTCCTAATGACACAGTTTGTGAGACTATTAATGATACAGTTGAAATTCCATGGAACAGATGTGAAAAGTCTACTACTTCTACTGTTATTGATGGAAAGACCACTACTACAGTGTTTGTACCAAATGAGACAGCTTGTGATGAAAGCGATCTAACGGTCACCGAATCATGGGATAAGTGTGAAACGTCTTCTACTTCTACTGTTATTGATGGAAAGACCACTACTACAGTGTTTGTACCAAATGAGACAGCTTGTGATGAAAGCGATCTAACGGTCACCGAATCATGGGATAAGTGTGAAACGTCTTCTACTTCTACTGTTATTGATGGAAAGACCACTACTACAGTGTTTGTACCAAATGAGACAGCTTGTGATGGTGTTGATCTTACAACAACAGAAACATGGGATAAGTGTGAAGTTTCTTCAACCGTTGGTATCACCGGCGGTAAGCAAACGACTACAATCTATGTTCCTAATGACACAGTTTGTGAGACTATTAATGATACAGTTGAAATTCCATGGAACAGATGTGAAAAGTCTAAATAAAAAACTACAATACCAAAACACTTGTCTACTAAATCATACCTACTGTTATTGATGGAAAGACCACTACTACAGTGTTTGTACCAAATGAGACAGCTTGTGATGAAAGCGATCTAACGGTCACCGAATCATGGGATAAGTGTGAAACGTCTTCTACTTCTACTGTTATTGATGGAAAGACCACTACTACAGTGTTTGTACCAAATGAGACAGCTTGTGATGGTGTTGATCTTACAACAACAGAAACATGGGATAAGTGTGAAGTTTCTTCAACCGTTGGTATCACCGGCGGTAAGCAAACGACTACAATCTATGTTCCCTAATGACACAGTTTGTGAGACTATTAATGATACAGTTGAAATTCCATGGAACAGATGTGAAAAGTCTACTACTTCTACTGTTATTGATGGAAAGACCACTACTACAGTGTTTGTACCAAATGAGACAGCTTGTGATGAAAGCGATCTAACGGTCACCGAATCATGGGATAAGTGTGAAACGTCTACTAC